CACACTGCCTCTTTTCCCTCTCCCCTCACTGTGTGCTGCCATGGGGCATGTGCCGACACAGGCCAGCCATCTGCACACTTCTCTGACCTGCTCCCAGGCCCTGCCAGGCCTGTCTCTAAACACACGTGTGCTCAGGTTATATTCATCCTTCTGAGCTCAGCTAAACTAGCAAGGTCCCGGGGCAAACACTTTTAAACTCCAAAAGCAATAAGACCCATGTGTGTGTTTGTCCTTGAACTATTAATTCCACAAAGTATCAGCCCACTTGTATTGATACATAATTATAATGTATTGTTATTATTTAGTTACTGTCCCTCTGCTCTGTTTACTCCCCATCCCACTGCAGGCAGGGAGTGCATCTCCTGCCCAGACATTGTGAGCAGTTCATGCTTTGTAAAAGGTGGGTACTTATAAGTATAAATCCTAACCTACGTGGGGAGATGCATATATCAAAGAGGTTAATATATTAAATGTATGCATTATGAATTAATTGCTTAATACATCACACAGGAGAGTCGAATGAGTGTGAACTTTACAGCTCGACATAATAGGACTTAGCCACAGTTTCTCAATTTGCTAGCTGTCTGAATTTGGAAAAATTTCTTTGCCTCTCTGAACCTCCGTTTCATCGCTTGAAGAAGATAATAACTAGCTGGGGGTGGTGGTGCGCTCCTGTAATCCCAGTACTCGGGAGGCTGAGGCAGGAGGATCGCTGTGAGTTCGAGACCAGCCTGGGCTAGAAAGTGAGTTCCAGGTCAGTCTCAACTACATAGTGAGACCCTGTCTCAAAATAAATAAATAAATAAATAATGATAATAATAACTTTGAACTTGGATGTCAAACTTAAATTAAATAAGGTGTAAAAACTGATTGGCTAATGGGTACCATGTGGCAAGTTCTCAATTCATGGTAGCTGATGGTATGACTGAGCTTGTATATTGTGCAGGTTAACTCAAAGCATAGAGGATCGTTTAATGTAGACGAGATGCGTACACAACCCAGTGCTTCATATGTAAGATGGATTCAGCGAATAGCTGCGAAATAAATATGTGAACGTGTGGGCAAAGAGCTATAAAATAAACAAGGGAACAAAAGCTTCTGAGAATGACTTCAAATTTGTGTTACTATGAACTGTTTGAGAACGCTGGAACAGTACAGAATCCCGCCGCTAGGTGTCGATAAATATACACTACAGAAACAAGACTTGGCTTTCTGGATACTGAGTCTACGTTGCCTTCATGTAATATTAGGGCACTGCACGTATTTAAAGCTAAAATACTGTACTTATTTATTTAAAACCTTGTCTACTGGGTCAATCAGATTTTTCACACTATTTCATTTTCTTTTTCTCCTCTTCTTTTTTTCTTTTTAATGCTGGGGACCGAGGAACAAAGCCTCTGCTTGAATTCTCGCAGTAACTTCCCAAGGTGTGGATACAAGTGAACCAGGAGAGGAAGCTCATATGAACGGCTGAGCCAGGAACGGGACCTTTCCACTGTGGCCCAGCTCCCTCCAGCCTCCACCAGCCAGAATAACTCCCCAGGCCCTGTAACTACTTTGCCTTTGTACTTCAGCTTACTCCCCACCCCAAGTCCCCCAAATCATACGCAGATTTCTTTCACTCCAGTGGCTTTGCCCATACCTTTTGCCATGAATTCATTCCACCCATCCAACCCCATTTCGTTTAATTCCTTGGATGTAAAGAAATTTACTCGTGTCTCAAAAACATCTTGTTTTAGCTGCCTCTCTCTGGATATGGCCTCCCTATCATGTACTCTATGAACTCACTAGGGCTGGCGTGACAAAATACCACACAGGTGTGCCAGTCAGACATTTCAGTTTTCACAGATTTGGAGGCTGCAGGTTCAGGAGCAAGGTTGCTGGCGGGGTTGCTTCAAGAGAGGCCTCTAAGCTCTCTCTCATTGCTTGTGGTTGCCCGTCTTGTGCCTGTATTTACACATCATCCTTTCTGACCTAATCTTCTCTCCTTAGAGGGACACCAGTCATATTAGTTCAGAGCCTACACAAACGACCTCATCTTAACTATTCCTTTGAACGCCTTGTCTCCAAATACAGTCACGTTCTGAAACATTATATGTTAGGACTTATTCAGCCCATAGCATTCTAAAATGTTTCAGTACCACTCTCCATAACCGTAATTATTAATGTGAACAATGTAATGCCTAGTGTGTGCCTAAAGGTTGTACGTTTCCATAAGGGTAGGAGCCAATTCTGCTTAAAGACATGAACTCAGCATCCGCCTCTGGCCAACCGCAGTAGGTTGCCTTTACATATTGCCACCAGAGCTACCAGTACCTCCCTCTTTATTGTCATTTCCCACGTAACTTCAGGGCCTGGCACAAAGTGAATCAGTAAATATTTAATTGCATAAAGATATTTAGGAACCAGCAGCTGACAAGAATGTTCTGGTTGCTCTTTTTATTCCCTTTTACCAACTACTTACCCCTTGTTAGCACAACCCACTGACCTGGCTATACTTGGTCACATATTTGCATTAGCAAATAGAGGCATGATGTTTCATACAGTCAGGTGTGATTCACAACAGCAAATTACTATCAGCTCACATGGAATAATTATGCTATCTGCTCACTAAGTGGAAACCTGTGCTAACTTCGAGAAGCAGGCATAGTTAGAGCAGGCATAGTTCAGTGCTTCCTTACATTTTGCTACTGGGGCTTCTTTCCGGACCCAAACTGCATCCCTGCCAGCTGCAGCTTTCCCTTCAGATGAGGCACCCTTGGGGTCAGTGTACGCAGTGATCTGTAATCCACATTTCCAGATGTCTCTGCGGGTACTCAAGTCTTTAACTTTCCTAGTCAAAATGCTTGATGCTGAGGCCTGCGGTGGCACCTTCCCCAGATCCATCCTACTGAAGTCACCTCAAGCCCAGGAGACCGCAAGGGACTCCTCCTGGTGCAGGACAAAGCCAACTGGGGGATGAAAAGTGAGAAAGGGTATGCCTGGAACAGGAGCCCCAATCTGATCTCTTGAGCTCGCATCTCAAAATATCCAAGGACAGGCCTGGGTGTCTCTGTATATATTTGCACGCAGATGTTTAAACCAAAATCTATAGAAAAGTTTCCCAAGATACTCCCCAGAAAAACTTAAGTCCCTGTGGAGTCAGTTTCTGAGCATGGATAGTGTTAAGCCTAACCCTGAATTCCCAATTCTACATCCAGACTCAGTCTGACCTTGTACCAGTTGCCTCCACTTTCTGAGTTCAATTCCTCCAAATGGAAAAGAATATCGAAGGAAGTAAAATAAAATCATATCTGTATAATAAAATCTTGCAAGTGATGTTTCCGGTTGCCCTGGAATTGATTGCTAAGACTAAAAGCTGAGGAGTGAGGAGGTAATCCACACTCTTCATCCTGCATTGAAATGAGGTGTCGGTCAAGTATTCACAGTGATCAGAGCCAGATACGTCTCACAGGACACGAGAAGACAGCCAAGCCCTCTGTGCTACCACAGCCTTCACCCCAATCTTCTCCCTCAATCTCCATCAGCAGGATCCTGGGAAGAGTAATTTAAAAGGCCTGGGGAATGCAAGCAGCAAGAAGGCATTGAAAAATGCAGACACCGCAGAAAAGCAATAGGAGAAAATTGGCAATGAAATATGGAAAATAATAGAGAATAGACTGTATTCCAATAGACTGTATTATGTAAAACATAATTCTCTTTAGGCTATTGCATCCATGAAATGAAACTTTCTTTTAAAGCATGCTGTTCACATGTATTAAGAGAAACCTAGTCTTATTTTAGCCCTTCACATTGATCCAGAAAAACAGTCAAGAGGTCATGATCCAAGTGGACAATACCATGGACATAGTACTAAAGAAATAAGATTCATGGAAGGAAGATAAATAAAAGGAATAGAAATTATGTCTCTTTCTCAAGTACTTGGAAGCATAATTTTTTCATGGATTTTTTTTTTTAAGACTAGAATTTCTAAAACAGTAGTAAGATTTGGGCTGACGAATGCATAGCTATTGACCAGCAGTACTATAGGCTCTAAACATTTACCTGAAACTTTACTCTCATATTTATCTGGTGCTTTCCATGAGGCTGTTTTCTATAAAGCACATGGCAAACTATCTTGCTACCAAGATGAATTGGCTAGGAAAGTACTCTCATTGCAAGTAGTTTATTCAAAATAGGTAGGCAGTTTACTGATTGGAAAATGCAAATACAGCAAGACAACTGATTCTACTGGGAAATTTCAGTATTTGGTTCTAATACGGGCTTTTCCTAATAGATGCATAATTTTAGGTGAGTCCCTCGTGCACATGGCAAACTATCTTGCTACCAAGATGAATTGGCTAGGAAAGTACTCTCATTGCAAGTAGGTTTATTCAAAATAGGTAGGCAGTTTACTGATTGGAAAATGCAAACAGAGCAAGACAACTCATTCTACTGGGAAATTTCAGTATTTGGTTCTAATACGGGCTTTTCCTAATAGATGCATGATTTTAGGTGAGTCCCTCACAATTTCAGGGTCTCACTCCCTACCTAGAAGAAAGGAGGATCACAGTGTCTACCCAGCTGATGTGTTGGGTTAAAAAGGATTTCATATGCAAAGGACCAAACCGTATCTTGGGTTGGAAAGTGTTCCATCTTTGCCAGTTATTTCTGCCCTTGTCCTTTGAACTTTTGCCGTACACATAAAATTGGAGTTAGCTTAATGAAAATTACAGAATTCATTATTCTTGACAGAGTATCACATATATTAAAGAAATCAATTGCTATTTATTACACACTGGAAAATTTTCACAATTTTACTTATATATTCAAAAATAATAGACCTAGAAAACTCAAGTTATTGAGTTTTTTGACACTACCACTGCAGCCAGGAATCAAGGTTAGATCCCTTTCATTTGACAAAGACAGCACTTTAACATTTTTGATCAGTCAGTAATTGAAGGGGAGAAAAATAGTCATGAATACTATATTGAACTGACAAAGTGACCGCTTTTTATTCAATTGAGAAGTCGATTTTGGTTGAAGCATGGTGTTACCACATTGCCACAGCCTGATCCAACTTGCAGGCTAGGGCGCACGCTCCCAGTTTTTGAGAGGGAAGCTCTTGTCTGGAGAATCTTGCTCTTCAAGCCAGCACTGCCTAACCTGAGCACTTATGTCCACCCTACCCATCCTTCTACAGCCCACAGCTAGTGACTGACTGAGTAGGAGTAAATACGGCAGTGCCCTCAGCGCAGGGCACACTGGAAATTGCAGTTTATGCCCCAGGTCTCGGCTTCTTAAGGGATGAGCTAAAACCACATAGCTGAGGTCCTCACTTAGGTCCCTTCCTGCCCTGTCCAACCGTCTGTAGTCTTTTGTCTTGAAGGCTCTTCCTCCACAAAGCAGCTCCCCCGGTATTCACAGGCTCTCTTCCTAGGAACCACAATCTTTGACACTGGAGAGATGAGAGAGTAATTAAATTTATTTTTTTAAAAATAAGGAAGAAAATGAGTGTTCAGTTGTTATACAAACAGAAAAGTACTTAAAATTTATAGTCTTAGAGCAACTTGGACCTATTGTTGTCATTTGAAATTGGACAAATTATAAAAGAATATGAGTGAGATTTTTTAAATGTTCAAATCATTTGTTTTGTGGGATCAAACTCAGGACCTTGTACTTGCAAGGCAGGCGCCATGCCATTGAGGTAAATGCCCAGCCCTCAATATTTCTTTTGCATTTATCTCAGATGAACAGTAGCATGGAAAGGGATAGGGTTGCAGCTCAGCAGTGACTGCAAACACTAGGCCCTGAGTTTTATTCCTAGTTCCAAAAAAAGAAAACAGAAAGAAAAGACCCCCCCAAAAAAAGCCCTTAAAAAAGGAGGATTTGCAATAAGAAATTGTCCATTCATTTTCCTAATGTTATTAAACATAATAATCTTAGGAAAAAGTATTGTCTTTATCTTTCTACCTCCCCCATGCTCCAAACTTTTAGTCCTTCTTTTCCCAGATTTAAAGAGAACAATGGTGACATCAAGTGGCCAAGAAGGCAGTTTTGACTCCAAACGTGGGATTACGAGTTACAGAGATCCAATATACAAAGATATTTCACTTTTTAGACAGTGGGTGGTTTTCACAAATGTGTTAACTTTTTTTTTGATATACTGTAAAAAATGTAAAGCTCAAAAATCCTCTTTTTATTACAGAACTAAAATCACATATTGCTTAGAAAACCATTTAAAGTCTTTAAGACTAAGATTATTTCAAAAAGCGTGGGATTTCAAACCTTCAAAGAACGAGATAATAAAATGAGAACCAAGGTCTTAATATATCGAATTCCATGATTTTTTCAGTTTCTATGATGTTTTCCTGTCAGGTGAAAATATGTTTTTAAATACCTACAATTAAACCACTTTTAATATTGCCCGAAACTTAGGTCGTATTTCTTTACTTTCTCTTCAGCAAAGCAACATTAAATTGAAGCTAGTGACTTTGAAGGTGACTCATTATATCCATTTCGTGAACTTAGAAATGGAAGTCTGTGTCCGTGATTCTAAAGTCAATAAGGAACAGGAAATCCTATCAAGGATATCTCTATCTAAGAACTGAGAAGAGAGTAGCGGGAGAGGTGGGAGAGGTCAAGGGTAAAGAGTAAGTCCAGTTCCAGCCTCTCAAAATAAATTGAGCAGTGTTAATGAAGGGTACTTGCGACCTTAGAACCTTGGGCAAAGGAAGGGGGCCTCGTCACTCTGCTCACTCCAGGGAACCCCAGTCCTACTTCTTCATGCTCAGTTGTGCTCAATCTAAACTGACACATTTTTAAACACTAACTGAGATTCAGTTGGAGAAACCACATTTCCATTTTGGATAGTTGAGGATGATAAAAAAAAAAATCTGCTTTCAGTTACCAAAGATCAGAGATTTGTTCAAGCAAAAGTGGATGGGTTACCTCTCGTATTAATCTATTCTTATTTTGCTAATGAAGAGAGAATACAGTAATTAAGTCCTTATTTTCAAAAGGATAGCAGGAAAAAAATTTCTTTTATAAACTATATGATTTTATGGTAGGAAATATTTGATCAATTAATTGCCATCAGATTCTGTATTTCTACTGGCCAAATATTGTTTATCTTGTTATGAGGGCTTTGGCAAGTTTTCTTTCCTTAGGAAATGAGTTGGAAAACATCAGTGAAACTTCAAAGCCATGGCTTGAGTTTATCATTTGATTTATGAAATGATGATTTGCATCACTTATCAGAACACTGAGTCCTTCCTGTGGAATTGCAATCCGAGTATGCAAATAACGTTGGGAAATTACTGGTTATTGCTGTTGGAAACAACTGAACCAAAATACCCTCACCAAAATGGTAGGAGCCTTAACATTAAGGGATGCACTAGTGATCATTCGATGAACATAAAAGTTTGGAGATTGAGAAAGACAACACTGTTTCACCTAATTTTTTATCATTATACTTTTCCAAATGAGAACATTAACCATCTTTCTTACAGTCTGTAATCATCACTGTCACCAACAGGGAGTCAGGGCACTGAATGTTACTCTGGTTGTTCACTGTCTTATCTAGGCATGGAGAAGTTATGCAACTTCTGTAGCTCTTCATTGTGCTACACAAGAATAATAGGCCAAGGAATGTAAAAATAATTTAAAAAATAAAATCTAAATGCTGCCCCCAGAGATGCTGATGTAAGAGATACTGGAAAGAGAAGTGTGTGTATAGGGAGAGCTGTCTAGGCGATTTTGTCCATGAGCCAGTCTTGGCACAACTGGACAATGTCAGATGATATTAGAGGACTCTTGCAGATTTATGGAGTGTTCTATTGTATGGTAATGTAAATTTTTAATGTGAAAAAAGTTTCTCACCTCAAGGATGCCTGTGATGCCTACAAGCAACTTCTGAATCGAAGGCCACTTCCGTTCATCTTTGAACACATTAAATCTACCTTCTTCTCAATAGGAAAAAGAGGATGGGGGACTAGAGAAAAACATTAAATCAAATAAACCTACCTTTTGAAGGTTGCCATGGCACCCATCACAATGAACTGGTTTTTCCTCAGTTGCGTTGTGTGTAAATGTATAAGTCAAGCTCCTTCAAGAACGCAGATGTTATACTGAAGTGGGGAGTTGAGGAAAGTTCACCGAAGAAACCTCTATTTAAATACAGACAGAAGCAAAGGAACCCTAAAAATCGATGCCGCAGTCCTGGGGGCCAGCAATGGCCTAAAGGAGAAAGGAAAGAGACATCACTGGGACATAAGTAACTTGTGTTTGCCCAGTGAGAGTGTGGCTCTTGGCCAGAGGACAGAACCTACCTGCCTACCTGGTGGGGAGAAAGCCAGCCCTGAATTCTGGTCTTAATTTCAAATATGTTTTCAGTGGGTTGCTGGTGCCTCATGCCTCCGCGATGGGATCCAGACAGAAGAGGAAAGGAAAGGACACTGCCGTCTGTTCCCATGTAACCCAGTTTCTGGCGGACATGAGGAAGATGAAGAGCGATGTGAGGGATGGGAGATAATTAAACTGCACAAAGACCCAGCTCCACCCAAGTGGTTTTCACCTCCACTTTGAGCCGCTCAGATTCTCCTTAAAATGTTTCTTGCCTTATTTACTCAACTGCTTCCTATTTAGCAGGATAACCCAGCCCAGGGGCTGACTGCAATGTGAAGCTGTTATTGTCCTTGCCCAACAGTAGCAGCAACCCCTGTGGCTGAGAGTTCAGAGAACCATGATTTGTGATCACATTTTACAGTGCTGAGTCCTCCTGTTTTGAATAACCTGTGGCAAAACCTCAGAGCTTTGCTTAAATGAAATCAAAGGATCTGATAGAAGAGATTTTTTAAGATATTTGTTTTTCATTGACATAAAGCTATGTTCAGAGCTGGTTTGAGATTTCTCACCCTTCCGAGTCTCTGGGATTTCTACCTGAAATATCCCATCCCATGGGCAAGCTCAGCAAGCTGGATGAGCCTGGAAATGTGATGGTGTGGCATGGGGACTGTTAGGACTCTTTCAGGGAGCAGGCCATGCTCTCTACCAATCCCCTGTGCAGGCCACAGGACGGTGACAGCAACAGCAGCTGTCAGCAGACTGGCAGGTTCCTCATGTCTGGAACCCTCGCAAGGCAGAATGAAGTAAATGGGACAGAGACACATGCACTGTGGAGAGCAAGCACTTAGGCAGCCTGCAAAGATCCATCTCAGCTGAGAGGCAGGCAGTCAACGGGAATTATTGCCCAGAATACGTGTGAATCCAAACTCAGACCGCCTCGGGAAGATGGTATCTTTGTTTGCTATGGCTGCCATAACATAATATGACAGGCTGGGTGCCTCAAATAGCAGAAAAACTTGTTTCCTCACATTTCTTGAAACGAGAAGTCCAAGCACAGTCTAGCTGCTCAGAACTCTTGAATTCTGAAGGAGCACTGCAATTTCCTCTCTACCTGTCTAGTTCATGCCCTCCTCCAACTTTCCTTTGCCTGGCTAATTCTGGCCAATTCTTCAATCTTGTGCTTAGAATTAACATTTCTATAAATCTCCTCTGACCACACACTACTCAGTGTGTTCTTTTCATTAGTCCTCCTTTACTACTCAACATGAATTTCCCCATCATAGTGTAGTTCGGTGATTCTCCAACACCAACAGACAGGAGGGGCTAGCAGAGGGCCAGTTAAACCAAACCAGGCTGGGTCAAATCCAGAGTTTCTGCCCCAATGGATCTGAGGTGGGCTCAAGAATTTGCATTGTTAGCAAAGTCCCCTGCAAACCCAGCATTGTTAGTGCTAGGACCTCCCTTTGAGAACCATCTCTACTGATAGTCTATTTACATCTATTAACCCCACCTAGCTTGCCACCAGTACATTGCAAACTCTTCAACAACAAGGATTTTGTCTTCCAATCACTGTGTGCCTAGCATCTTGTACAGTACCAGGAACATGATAGAGATTCCACAAATAATAATCCTGTACCGTAATCATGTAATACATGAATGAATGAAACTGGAAATTATTTACATGGAGAGCATATATTTTTAGAATGAGAGCCTGCTTTAAAAGATTTTGTTGTACCAAGACTAATGTAAAATAGCGTAAACAAAAGTCTGTACTCGTTTAGAAAGAGCTAAGTGTCTAAAACCATAATGTTGTTTATACTGATCTGAGATATATATATACTCACAAAACCATTTTATAGAAACTTTGGCTAGGGCTATTTTGCCTCAGGGAACTGTCCTAAAATATACAGCTGGAAAAGAGAATGTAAAATAAGATGTGAAAATAAGGTATTAGGAAAACTGGTTGTTATCTAATGAATACAGAAGGGAGCTACTGGAAAGCAAAAAAGAGAGCAGCCTCCAAGACCTGTTGTTCCTTCTATTAAAACTTGAAATCGCAAACCAGAGTTTAGAAGACAGAAGAAATAAAACTGAAAAATGCTTGTGCGTGCTGTGGCAATGCGGTTGAAAAGTTGTGCAAGGGCAGAAACAGCTGTACTCCCTTTGGGCTCGGGTGCGTTACAAGAATGTTTTCCTCATGCTTTAACGTGCCCTGCAGTTGCTAAGTCCTCTTCTCAACCTGTACCTCATGATTCCCTCAACCCAACCCTGCAGGGAGCACCGTGCAGGGACCCAGCAGGGTGCATATCATTGACTCAGCTGTAGTTACACAAAAATTAGTGAGTTGGGACCAGTGAAGGGAGGGAGGAAAAGAGAGAGACAGAGGGGATGGGAGAGAGAGAGAGAGAGAGAGAGAGAGAGAGAGATCATTAATCCCTGGCCCTCTCTTTGACTTTCATAAAATGGCAAGAAAATTGGGCAGCAAGCTCTGTATTACTAGCTAGCTAGCCAGTACCTTGTTTCTAACTTCCAAGAGCAAAATATCATCTTCCCTGAGTGCTGAAGAACTTATCATAGGTCTTCCCCAAATTCATATATTGAAATCTTCACCTCCAAGGTGAAAGGTGACTGAGCACTCATGGATGGGATTAATTCCCTCCTATGTGAGATCCCAGAAACAAACCTTATGCCCTCTACTTTGTGAAGACAGGAAAACAACCATCAATAAATCAGGGAGGAGGACCCCACCGGAAACCGAATCCATCAGTGTCTTGATATTGGAATACTCAGCCTCCAGAATGGCAAGAGGTAAATTTCTGATATTTATAACTTACCCAATTTGTGATATTCGTATGACAACACCTTCAAAAGGAATATGACAGGATCGAAAAACACTTTGTCAGAGGTTTACTGACCCAACTGAATTTATCTTCCGCCATCCAGGAAGATCTGGGCTGAAGTTGTCATGGTAAATTTCTGTTATTCATAACTTACCCAATTTGTGATATTCGTATGACAACACCTTCAAAAGGAATATGACAGGATCGAAAAACACTTTGTCAGAGGTTTACTGACCCAACTGAATTTATCTTCCGCCATCCAGGAAGATCTGGGCTCTGAAGTTGTCAGTAAAGAAAAACTCCTTTCAAACTCTGGTTCTTGGTGTCTGAAAAACCAGTCCAGCCTTCATGCCGCCACCATGCTGAAAATGATGTTTAACATTAAGGTATTGTATCACAACCCTCCAAATTCTTGTTTTTGTCCTACAAATTCCAAAGTGCTACCCTTTGCCTGGTACTAGGGTAACATTATGTCTCAGTTTGACAAGGCATCCCTAGCTCACATCTTTGTCTCTCTCTCAAAAGTACTCTGTTCAAGCCATTTTATAGCCACTTACTTGTGGCATCACATCTGAAGTTTTGGGTGATCTAGTCCCATCTTACTATCTAGTTTTATTTTATGCCACATCCACCCATCGTTGACCATAATTAATTATTTTACCTGACATTTCTCCTCTGTACCTTAGCACACTCTTTCTTCCTTTTCCCTACTTATTTTCCCCTTGCTAGATGTTTACTTACTTTTAAGTAAGTCTATCTGACTATCCTTCCACACCATTCCTGTTATACAGAAAATACATGTTCAATAAAGCATTTGCCTCCTTCTTTTGTATACGCCATAAACACCATTGCATTAGCATCTATCTTCGTCATAAGTAATTCTCCAGGACAGCAAGTCTTTTTCTATGTACATGGTATTTCAATGGTGAGTGAGAAAATGACTTCACAAACACACCTACAATGACCTAAGGTAAGTCAGAAATAGTTTTGTAAAACTATTCATTTCTGGGGGTGTTCTAAACCTGCCTTTCAGTCCAGTGCCTCAGCCAAGATAGAACTACACAAACACCACAGCACTTTATTTAGAAATGTCCGCATACCCACACCTCTTATGGAAAAAGATATACCCTTTCTAGTGCTCTGGTGGATCCCACCTTTTATTTTTTCCTACCAGCAATCAAAAGAAAAAAAGAAAAAAGAAAGAAGAGGCCCAAGTGTTTCTGTTACTTCTGAGCAGACTCCTCCTTTGGTCTTCAGCATGAGTGGATTACGTTACTCTTGCTCCCAGTGTGAATGTACTGGACAGGGAGACTGTGGCTCCCAAATTGAAATCTGATATATGCAATGCTATATACTCCTGATAATTTTTGGAAATAATACTAAGCGTAGTGCTACCCTTTGCCTGGTACTAGGGTAACATTATGTCTCAGTTTGACAAGGCATCCCTAGCTCACATCTTTGTCTCTCTCTCAAAAGTACTCTGTTCAAGCCATTTTATAGCCACTTACTTGTGGCATCACATCTGAAGTTTTGGGTGATCTAGTCCCATCTTACTATCTAGTTTTATTTTATGCCACATCCACCCATCGTTGACCATAATTAATTATTTTACCTGACATTTCTCCTCTGTACCTTAGCACACTCTTTCTTCCTTTTCCCTACTTATTTTCCCCTTGCTAGATGTTTACTTACTTTTAAGTAAGTCTATCTGACTATCCTTCCACACCATTCCTGTTATACAGAAAATACATGTTCAATAAAGCATTTGCCTCCTTCTTTTGTATACGCCATAAACACCATTGCATTAGCATCTATCTTCGTCATAAGTAATTCTCCAGGACAGCAAGTCTTTTTCTATGTACATGGTATTTCAATGGTGAGTGAGAAAATGACTTCACAAACACACCTACAATGACCTAAGGTAAGTCAGAAATAGTTTTGTAAAACTATTCATTTCTGGGGGTGTTCTAAACCTGCCTTTCAGTCCAGTGCCTCAGCCAAGATAGAACTACACAAACACCACAGCACTTTATTTAGAAATGTCCGCATACCCACACCTCTTATGGAAAAAGATATACCCTTTCTAGTGCTCTGGTGGATCCCACCTTTTATTTTTTCCTACCAGCAATCAAAAGAAAAAAAGAAAAAAGAAAGAAGAGGCCCAAGTGTTTCTGTTACTTCTGAGCAGACTCCTCCTTTGGTCTTCAGCATGAGTGGATTACGTTACTCTTGCTCCCAGTGTGAATGTACTGGACAGGGAGACTGTGGCTCCCAAATTGAAATCTGATATATGCAATGCTATATACTCCTGATAATTTTTGGAAATAATACTAAGCGCAGATAGATA